GGGTTCCATTCCCAGCTGGGGCGTGTACAGGAGACAACCAATCGATGTTTCACATCAATGTTTTTCTCTCTCCCTTCCTCACTCTTTCTAAAATCAATGAAAACATATCCTCAGGTGAGGATTTTTTTCAGAAATTTTTTTTAGTTTTGAACATAATAAAAGCCTAATTAAAAACCACTTATAAAACGTTGGCTGCAATAACATACCTCAAAACCCTCTAGGGCAGTGGTTCTCAACCTTCCTAATGCCGCGACCCTTTAATACAGTTCCTCATGTTGTGGTGACCCCCAATTTCACCCTTACAAATTGAACATAATTAAAGCATAGTGATTAATCACAAAAACAATATGTGATTATATATGTGTTTTCCGATGGTCTTAGGCGACCCCTGTGAAAGGGTCGTTCGACCCCCGCAAAGGGTTCACAACCCACAGGTTGAGAACCGCTGCTCTAGGGTGATAGATGACTGAGGAAACTAAGATCATATGAGTCTGTTCTGATGACAGAAAACTGGATAGTCAGTTATTTGAAGATGAAGTGGGTAATCTCACACCAAAATAATCTTTGTTTCTGTCATATTGCCTTAACTGCCATAGTTGGAACCCTTGCCCCTGAGGAAATGTGCAGCTAGTTAGTGAAACGATAGTGTTTTGAGCCCATCTGCTTTCCCAGATCCTGGAACAAAATCAAGAAAATGAATCACCCAAATGATAGCAGGAAATATCATGATTTCATCTCTTTCCAATCCCCATTATTTTATCACCAGGTCCACCTGAATCAAACTTTCTAAAAGTCAAAGCAAAGACCTGTACTTAGTGAACAGTGTGGACAATGACCAGTTAGCTCTATCTTGGACTTCCCTTGAAGTGTGAGCAACTGGGAAAAAAATATAGGTAGAGGATTTGGGTTAATAGCCATTTTGCGAGAAACTGGCCTTGCAGACTTGGTTACAAGCCCTTTTCACACTCCTGTGCCTAAGTTCCCACTGTCACTTTAAGAAGGCAGTTGAGATTCTAATGTTTTTCTCCGAATGCTAGTCCCAAAAAATTACTCTCAAAAAGGGAGGGGGTCCTTAGCTGGTTTGATTCTGTGATTAGAGTGATGGCCTGCAGACTGAAGGGTCCTAGATTTGGTTCCAATCAAGGGCAAGTACCTCAGTTGCAGACTTGATCCCCAGCCCTGATTGGGGCATGTGTGGGAGGCAACCAATCAATGTGTTTCTCTCATATTGATGATGTTCTCTCCCTCCCCCTCCCTTACACTCCTCTAAACAAAAAAAAAATCAATGGAAGCCTCTGGCATTGCTCAGTGGTTGAGCATCGACCTATGAACCAGGAGGTTACTGTTTGATTCCCAGTCAGACCACATGCCCAGGTTGTGGGCTCCATTCCCAGTAGGGGGTGTGCAGGAGGCAGCCATTCGGTGTTTCACTGTCAGGTGCATGTTTCTCTCTCTCTCTTCCTCTCTGAAACCAATAATAAAAATATATTTATAAATAAATAAAATTTAAAAATCAGTAGAAAAATAACCTCAAGTGAGGATTAACCAAAAAGGGGAGGGGGGGGGGGCGAGGAGAGTAGAGGCACCAATAAATTTGGAAAACACATCATACTGTCACACCCTACCCTACGCCCTTGTAAACTTTATAACTCACATTATTATCTTTAAGACTGGGAAGTTCAGCAACTTGTATTTAATCCACAGACACATTTGACAGAGAAATACCTACTAATTCCTTCTGGTATATACAGGGTGGGGCAAATGTAGGTTTACAGTTGTTCATATGAAAAATAATACAATAATAATATTAAGAGTAACTCTTGTGTTTCTTATACCCACAATTGTAAACCTACATTTGCCCCACCCTGTATTTGGAACACTGAATTAAGTGTTCTCTGATGTCTTTCTCTCTCTCTCTCTCTCTCTCTTCTCTCTCTCTCTCTCTCTCTCTCTCTCTCTCTCTCTCCTCTCTCTCTAAAAAACATATAAAAGATATTTTCTTAAATTTAGATTGATGGTATGTTTCTCTCAACTGGTGATTTGGCACTTTATACTTTTTATTTTTTTTTAGGTGGACAAAGTTTTTCATGGTATTTAGGCATCCTGCCTTAATCTTTATTACTGAAAAAGTAAGTGAGATCTCTAATTCCTGGGCCATGGTATATAACATTTTAAAATCACTTAATTACTTTTAAAACTAAAATAGGACTTTAGTATTTCTGTCAGAAGATTATGTATTTTGTATCTTTTAAATACTAAAGAGTCTACTGGCTATATTTCTACGTTTAACTGAAATATTTTATAACATTTAAATTTAATTAAACAATAGGTTTTTAAGCACCCATTAAAGTAATTAGAATGGGGTAACATGGTTTTAACATTTAAATATAGTTGGTTGAAATGAGAGTATTTCAAAAATAAAATAACTTTTTTTTTTCTTTTTTTTTTTTGCAGCATGGAAATTACTTCGCTTATGTACAAAAGTTTAACTCAAGTGTTGTAAGCAAATATACCCTCTTACTTGGACAAGAAGAAAAATCTGTTATACAGAGTTTTACTGCATCCTTGTGTCGTAAATTCATTTCTTTGATGTCATTAAGTAAGTATTTTTCTTTGAATTTACTGTGACTGTAAGTAGAGGAATATTACAGGATAGTACTTGTTTTTGCAGTTTTCTGCTGTAGCACTTCCCATTGCATGCTTCCTTATAAGCATTTATACCTTCCCTTTTTGCACTTTGCCATGTCTGGTCAAGCTTAAGTCATTGGTTCTCTGCAGGTAAATGTTATGTCTTTAAATTTATCATAAGCAGTAAGTGATAGTATAACACTAACAAAAAGGAAAAATCACCTTTAATCTTTATCATGATAAGGCCAGGTTCTTTGATATAATAATTACTGAACCATAAAATATCTAAGATTGTTACTAAATGGCCCTCCATTTCTTTTTTTCCCAGTCTTGAGACTTAGTGTGCCCTTCTTTGAATGGAGGCAGGTGGGTTAAAGGAGACTAACAAAGCACTCTAGGCCTAAGCCAACCAGTGTTTTACATATTACTTTAATGCCTTGGAGTGTACCTGTTTATAATGGTGTAAGGATAGCCCCAGTCATGCCTAGGGGGGGAAAAACTAATGCTATACTCTACCACTATCCTTTTTGGCTTCTTTTGAAGTTGTTTTGAGAAGGTTAAGGGAGGAAATAAACAAGAGCAATATTTAGAGAACACATGTATTATCACAAACATCTTTGTGAAGTTTTTCAGTTTGCAAATGTTTTCAGTAGCTATTAATAAAAATGCTTCATTTATCATTTCTAGGTCATTGGAATCTGCTTAATGCCTTTGCTTGACAGGGACTGGTTTTCTTAAAGTTTAACCTATAGGGCATAGTTATTGTTAAATAGAAGTTTGCAAGTTATATTTGAGCTTATTGAACATTAAAGTAGGGATTCTGAACCACAGGGTCCTAAAAATCTTCCTATAACATATCTAAAACCACATGGAATTGCCAAAATTTAGTTGACATACAAAAAAATAGCAATTTCCTATGGTTTTCAAGGTGATGAGGTAACAAATGTGATGCATAAACCAGAATGCTAATTTATTCCTAATGAGAGATACAGTGGGGCTTGACTTACGAGTTTAATTCGTTCCGTGACGGAGCTCGTAACTCAAATTACTCGTATGTCAAATCAATTTTCACCATTACAATGAATTGAATGCTGGGCTGATGTTGTGGCGTTCACTGTTACGTTTGCTGCGCCAACTAGCGGTGGGGTATCTGAAGCTGGCTCGTAACCCGAATTTTAGCTCACAACTCAAAGCAAAAAATCGGCCGAGAGACGGCTCGTATCTCGAAAAACTCGTTAATCGGGACACTCGTAACTCAAGGCCCCACTGTATATCCTTTCAGTGACTAGATTTTCTGTATCCCTGACAATCTCCTGTCATATTTTATTACAGGTATTTACAGTTTTGATTTCTTGGCTATTATGACATTTCTTATGAAAATTTTTATTAATGATACTCCTCCCTTAATTTTAAATTTGTAATATGTTCTTTAAGTGAAAGCAAAGAGTGATGTGATTGGTACATTTGTTTATTTTTCTGGTTGGATCCTGTATCAAAATTGATAAAATCTTATAAACAACCTAGTACATACATTTAACTATTATAAATTTGTTCTTTATCCAATATTGAACAACAAATACTTGTTTTCAACAGGCTCAGATGGATGTATATATGAAACCTTGATACCAATACATCCGAGTGACCCAGAAAAAAATCAACATCAGAAGGTAGTTAGATCACTGTTGCTCAAGACTGTCGTGTCTGGAAATGCTCGAAATGCACTCAGTGTCCTGGATCAAGATCACGTAGCAGTGCTGGGACCACCGCTACCAGCTTCTAAGGGTAACTAAAAGCAAATCAATTAGAAGTCCTTTGGATTTTTCCTTCACAGTGTACCTATAGGACTTTGACTTTCATCTTGCATTTGTTAATCTTTCAAAAACATTTTCTTGCATCACTACTTTGCTCATGACTCATGTCTTAAAGAAATAAAAACTGCAGGTGTCAATGCCAACCCATGGGCATTTGAAACATTGGTAAGCCTTACCTAGAGCATTAAATACATAGCTTGGCCACATTTTCACAGAATAGAAATCCACTGGACTTGGACAGCTTGAAATTTGGGGACTGCTATGCTTTTTCATTTCTGTCACTTCAGAGCAGGATTCTCATCATCACCTTACCCCAAACACCCCTGCACACACACAGACTTAGAGTCTATCATGAAAGACCCAGTTATTCCTGGCCAGTGCAAGATTGAGGTCTCTCCACCTATACTATAAAACTCAGAATCTGTTGTGTATCACTCAGGTCTCCTCTAGACCCATTCACCTTTCCCGGTCTCTTCTCCTAACTTCACAGCAAGAACCCTCTGCTTTATTCAGGCCAGGCTCCCTGTTGACTACAAACTTGATATGCCCATCCTCACCGGTGTACTTTGTTAAGTTCCTCCTACTTACAGGCACTACTAGTGATAGCATGGCTATGTGCCAGGCATTTTACTTAAATTATCTCATTATTTGTATCATGTTACCTTCCAACAGACTTTTGAGAAAAAGTACACTTATCAGCCCTATTTCACAAGTCAGGAAACTTAGGTGTTAGGTAATTAAGTCGTGAACTAGGATTCAGCCCAAGCAGGTTGACTCTAATGTGCCATGTACCTCACCCCTCTTAAGTCCTGGCTCTTAACCATTTTACTATGCTGTGCTTCTCTCTCTCAACCCCCCTCCTTCCTCTTTCTGGTTCATGCTCTACGCAGCAAAAAAACCAGTAACCACTGTTAGAGTTGTATCTTAACCTGAGATATCATAGAGACCTTTCCATACCAGCATATTGTTATTATTAAGACTTTAGCCCCAGCCAGCTTGGTTCAGTGGATAGAGCGTCAGCCTGCGGACTGAAGGGTCCCAGGTTCGATTCCAGTCAAGGGCACATGCCTGGGTTGCGGGCTCAATCCCCAGTAGGGGTGTGCAGGAGGCAGCTGATCAGTGATTCTCTCTCATCATTGATGTTTTATCTATCTCTCCCTCTCCCTTCCTCTCTGAAGTCAATAAAGAAATATATATTTTTTAAAAAGACTTTATATTTTTGGGCAATTGAAGGTTTATAGCAAAATTGAGGGAGGAGTACACAGATAACTTATATATGCGCTGCCCCCACACATGTGCATTCTTCTTTTCATGAGGTGTAATTCCTTTAAATTTTGGTGGCAATCACTGTTGTCATTACTCAATAAAGCAAAACTTGTGTGTTTAACTATGACTCATCCCTTGTCCCTCCCACAAGGCATCATATATTTATTTATTCTTGGGACTATTCTGAATTTCTCTTTTTTTCACAGAATGCCTCTCCATATGGAACACAAAATTTCAA